CTGACAAACCTTTTGACCAGACCACGATTAGTCTGCAGATGGGCACGAACAAAGGAGCCAGCCAAGTAAGCAATACCTTTTTATACTTTTTTGTACCAAAAATTACAAAAGGGATATTTTAAATTTGCATTTAACTAATTCTTATTAACAAAGTTCTTAGCAGACTTCCCCCCCCCCCCCCCCCGCCAAAGCATTCATTTAGAGTATATTCCTTTAGGAAAATAGGTTTTACTGTACAACCAAAAGAAATCAAAGGACTTGTTATATATATAGCAGTGCAGGTAGTATGGGGTTATGGTTTTTGTGATGATTAGAACAGTTGGTCTGCCTGGCCAGAAAAAAAAAAAAAGGATGTTTCCTATAATACTTTTGCTCCAGACCCAAGTAAAAAAACGATGCTATTGAAATGCTTGACTAGCTTTTTTTTATTTTAAAGGATCCCTAAAATAAATTGGACTTTTTAATCTGATACTGTAGGATAAGCTGTAAGATAAGTCCATTGTTTTTATCCCGTGAGAACCAAGCTAGCCTTGAGTAATTTTTATCTTGTCTTCTTAAATAAAACACTATTATGCTTATTATATCTAAAACTACCACAAGGTTGGTAGTTCAAACCCACCAGCAGCTCTTTGAAAACCCTATACAGGGTTGCTGTGAGTCAGAACTGACTTGGTAGCACTTAATAGAAAATTAAATTGGCTGGTAAAAGTAACTGATATTTGCTAAGAACCATTCCTATTAAATATGTGTATACTTCTTGTTACCTGCTGACTCATAGTGACCCTGTTGGGGTTTCTGAGGCTATAAATCTGTATAGGAGCAGAAAGCCTCATCTTTCTTCCACAGAGTAGCTGGTAGATTAAAACTGCTGATCTTGCAGTTAGCAAGCCCAATACATAACCCACTATGTGACCAGGCTCCTATGTGGATCCTGTTACTGTTGGGTTATTAGTACTGTTGAGTAGGTTCTGACTCTGTAGGGTTTCTGGGAAGTGACTGGTGGGTCTGCACCACCAACCTTGATGTTAGCAGTCTAATGCTTATCCAATGGAAAGTGCAGCATGGTGAAAATGCCAGTATCCAAAGAGCACAGCCTAAGATGGAAATATTTTTTGCCTTGTTTTGTTCGAAACAAATCACCAACACTACAAAAGGAGGTTCTAATAACCTTTTGCAAGTAGACAGATCTCATCTCCACCAAATGTCGGAATAAAGCTTGAAAATCTTTTCTGTTGTTTACCTTTTGTGGAGCACATCCTGCCACACTGTCTGTGGCATTGTCTCTCCTAGCTTACCCTGGAAGTGTGTTCTTGGCCTCCTGTGTGGAGATGTGAGGCACAAGCTACTGTGCTCTCTAGGGAAGAGTAGCTGCTCGGATGTGGCTCTGGCTCTCTCTGTCTTAGTCTTCTGACTCTTAGTTCTCAAGGACTGCTCAACTTGATTTTTGTTGATTGTATTCTAGGTTTTTGGAATTGATAACCTGGGTAGTACCTTTGGCAATAGAAGCATTCAAAGGTAGCTTTTAGTTGTGCCAACATTATGCTGTGTTATATTCATCATGTTTAATCCTCTCAGAAATGTAAAATATATAGTAATGGCTCAGTTTTGCATATATAAGAAACCTAAAACTATAAAAGTATGTCATCTTGCTTGAGACCACAGCAATTTTCTAGCAGAACAAAGATTTGAAAGAATGTCTGCCCTAACTCCAAAGCCAATGGCTGTTTCTTTAGAAGAGTGATTTGGGGTCAGTCTGAACGAAAGGAAAGTTATTCAATGTGATTTTCTTAATAGAGAGAAAATATTGGCAAGAATAGATGTTAGCTTCTGATAAAACTTTCATACTATGTTCTGATACTAGGCGGGAATGTTAGCACCCGGTACCAGAAGAGACATCTACGATCAGAAGCTAACATTACAACCAGTGGACAACTCGACAATTTCTCTACAGATGGGTACCAACAAAGTTGCTTCCCAGAAAGGAATGAGTGTGTATGGGCTTGGGCGGCAAGTATATGACCCCAAATACTGCGCTGCCCCCACAGAACCTGTCATTCACAATGGAAGCCAAGGAACCGGCACAAATGGGTCGGAAATCAGCGATAGTGATTATCAGGCAGAATATCCAGATGATTATCATGGCGAGTACCAAGATGACTATCCCAGAGATTACCAGTATGGTGACCAAGGCATTGATTACTAGATTCACACAGATGAGCTCAGTATTTAGTCCATTGTTTGTATTCCGTGAGAACCAAGCTAGCCTTGAGTAATTTTTATCTTGTCTTCCTAAATAAAACACTATTATGCTTATTATACCTAAAAGAAATATTGCCTTACATACATTCCTTTTTCCTTTTTCTGCTTCTTCCCTCAATAGTTGCCTTTTAGTGCTGTAACAGTTAAATCCTACAGCATAATCAATAACTCGCATATGAAGTAAAAAGGAATACTGTGAAAGGGAGTACTCTTGTACAGCCAATTCTTTTATTAAAGATCTATGCATTTTTACAGTCTTCTACTTAAACTGGTCTTTTCAAACAATAGGAAACTTTTTCCCTTTTTTTTTTTTTTTTACAGTTTAGTATCTGGTTTCTACATGGAAGACTAAACTCATGCTTATAGCTAAATGTGGTCTTTGCCAACTAAATCTGAAATTTTAGAAATTTACATGTTTCTACAGTATTGTTTGCTAATTTTTAAATAAAGTCATTGATCAGTGTGCATTTGTGATGATCCGTGTACTCATTCTCTTACCTAAGCTGACAAGATCTTTTCAGATGGTGTTTCTAAAGGAGAGTGTACAAAATCGGCCTGTAGGCATTTCGCTCTGGGTGGTGTGTTTGCTCTTCTTGTTTGTGCCAATGTATCAATATAGAATTGCTCTGTTTCCTATACTGTATTTATTGCTGCATTTCTCAGCATAAACTTACCCCATTGTATTTTTTATAAATAAATATTTTTTTTTTGAACATTCATACGAACCACAGGCTGATTATTTTGTAATTTACGGATAGGTACATTCAGATTTAAAACTGTTTTTAAAAAAGGTGCTCTTTTCCAGTCACTATAAGATAATTTTATCTGACCCTCAAAACACCCCATTCAGTGCTGAAGGAGATTGGACTAGATGGCCTATTGTACATAGGTAAGGACAGCCAGGGTTCACACTATTATCAGACCCTTACTTACTCTACTGTGGCTCGGCGGCCCTAAATCAAACTTGGAATATATTTGAAATCACCTTTAGGAGTATGACTTTTATAGTTATTTTCTAGGGTGAATCAATATATAGTAATAACATACTGGGTTGAAAATAGGTGTGGTGGAGTCCTGTTGTGGTGCTCTTGGTTAATGCTCTCGACTACAAAGTTGGTGTGAACTGCAAAGTCTGTGGTTCAGGCTCACCAGTCACTCCTTGGAAACCCTACACAGGGTCGCTAGGAATCGTAACTGACTCGATGGCACTTAACAAACAACAACATGTAACAGAGTACAAGTACAGTATGAAATATCAGCAAAACCGAACTCTCTCTCAGTCAGGACATAGAGAAGGCTGGTCAAATAACAGCCAAGTGTTATAACTATAAAGTCCAATCACAAAAAGCAAATGAGTAACTCACACTCTGACACTTCCCCAGTGAAGTGATTTCTTAAGGTGATATTTGGCTATTAGGCCTTGAAAGAGAAAATGTGCAACATGTTTACCAAGGCTGATAATGAGGACATATACATGATTTAGTGAACTCAAAAGCAGTGATTAAGCTGATTGCCTTGGTAACGAAGTCAGCTCTAACTCTTAATGACCTTGTTGTATGAGGTCCGATGCCATCCTCATAATCACTGCTATATTTGAGCCCACTTTTGCAGCCGCTGTGTTAATCCATCTCGTTGAGGGTCTGGTCTTCCTCTTTTTCAATGACCCTTTACTTTACTATAAGCATGATGTCCTTTTTTAGGGACTTGTTCCTCCTGATAACATGTCCAAAGTACTTGCGATGAAGTCTTGTTATCCTCGTGTTGAAGGAGCATTCTGGTTGTACTTCCACCAAGACTGATTCATTCATTCTTCTGGCCGTCCTGTCCTCTTTGAGGAGTGCCTTATGGAAATCATATATGGGAATAGGAATATTTGCTCTGCAAGTAAGCCAGGTTGTTGTTCCATACTATCTAGTCAGCTGCAACTCATAAGGTTTCCAGTTAGGACAGCTGGGGAATTCTACCTGTCCATCTGACTGACAGGGGTTGGCACATAATATGTTCAGTATTTCTTTTGTTTAAAGCTTCCAAAAGGAAAAGTCCCAACAAGGGGACATGCCCCAGACCTTAGCATTTACATCTCGGTATGAGTCTAAGCGTAAGTATTTTTAAAAAATCTTCCTCCAGTGATTTTCCTAGGGCTCTGTGAGTGAACCTACTTTTCCAGAGTGTTTACTAATATGAAAGGTGGTCTAGTGCTTTTAACAAAGTTAAATCTGGTTAAACGTCTCCTGCCTTCCATTTTATACCATGCCCAGTTCAGATGATAGTTTTGGGTAGAATTTAATTTAAACTTACTATTTTTCTTTTCACTAAATCTTAGAATTGTGCCTTGAAAAGCTAATGGCATGAAAGTGAAAGGACAATTGTTATTTCCTGGATTGGATGAGTAAAATAACTCTGCTCTGTTCTAGAGCAACATTCCAGACACTTCTGCTAGCAACAAACAACAAAAAACGACAACCGTTTTTAAAGGTTTATTTATTGGTTGTGAGTGGTAGAGTATTCTATTCACTGGAGCCCTGAAACAAGCTGTTATATAGTGTTTATGTTTTTGGATCCATATAAACATGGTCTTAGAGTTTTTTGTCTCAGTCAGTACAAAAAAGTTGTAAACTTTTATTGCTCAGTATTGTAACATAGTCAAACAGGAATGACAAAAGCAATGAGGAAAAAGAGGGTTCATCAGGCATTATAGCTTATTCTGCTTGGAAGCATGAACCTTTTCCAGGTACAAATAGCTAATGGGTGGCTATCACAATGGGTTGGAGCTCTGTTCCTTCTTCATTCCTTAATGTCGTCCCATCTCTCTGTGCCCTTGTACCACTTAATGTGTTGCTCCTTTTTACAAAACTCTGAAACAACAAAAGAATGAGGCCAGGGTTAGGCATTGACATTGTTGGCAACCATTTAGTAGGATTTCTTGGCCTTATTCTGTGAGGAAATTACATCCTTAAAAAGTTCTCCCTGCTGAATCAAAATATCTTGGGTGGGCAGAATTCAAAGTGGATTGTTAACCAGAAGAGTATAAATCAGGGAAAACTGACTTGCTTAATTTCCTGCCACCATCAGAAACTTTTTTTCTAGTGTCCATACAAATAAGTCAGAATACTAGTGCATTTTTTGGGTGTGTTTTATATGGAGAACAATGAGGATAGATTTAATCATAAAATTGTAGAAGGGCTTGTTAAAAATCAGTGCCTGGCCAAAGTGCTTTGGATGCTCTGTTTAAAGTAAAAGGGCTTTGACCACCTAAGTTTTATGCATCAGAATGAAAGAAAATGATTAATTATAAACTGTCTCTTCATCCAGACAAGAAAAAGAGATGTGACATTATTCAGCTGTTAAAATAGTCCTGTCTACATAGGATAAGGCAAATAAGCAACTGTGTGACAAACGCTGTTGGAAACAGCTGCCTGCTAGCTCCAGATATAAGTAGTATAGGGGCTCTACTGAGGGTGTGGTTTTTCTGTGTCTTGGTTAAAAGGCATGAGAATTACCCAGCTGTCAGCACTAGCACAGAAGGGCGCAAAGAACCAATGAATCTACCTTGGAGTGTTGTTAAATGCCATCAAATTGGTTCTAATTCATAGTCACCCTGTATAGGGTTTCTGAGGAACAGCTGGTGAGCTTGAACCTCTGACCTTATGGTTCAAACCGACCTTGCAGCCCAGCACGTTAACCCACAGCGCCACAGTACTCTGCCTAAAATATAGGGGGTGTGGCATGATACTCGTCGGTGCAATAATGCTTTAGAAAAAGATCACCTTAAACTGCCATGCCATCCAAAAGGCCAAACTAAGTCATTAGCATCAAAGACATTTGGATTGCTACTGTGTCTGGAACATGTTCTGTTGTTACAGCTGCTGTTCCATGTAGTGGGCACCAACACATGGAGACCTCATGCACAACAAGGAGACCTTGCACTGCCCTTTGCTGTAGAGTGAACTGTGTCCATAATGGGGTGTTCACTGGCTGATTTTCAGTACACTGCCAGAACTTTCTTCCTAATCTGTTACTGGATTGGAAGCACTGCTGGAACCTGTCCAGCATTACAGCAACATATGAGATACAGTGACAAGGAACTGAACGCTGGTCTCTCACATGGAAGGTGAGAATTCTCATCACTGTCCTCGGCACATGTTCTACCCAGGGTTACTTAGTGTTGCTCCTACTGAGGAATCTATCTGATCAGCATTAATTCTGTTCAGCTTTGCTTCTCTATAGGGGAAAGGTAATCTCAGCATCAGGAAGTTCAGCCTCATTCTCACTCTCAGCACTTGCAGATCACATAGTAGTGAAAATCCACCGAAAAAATGAGGGTGGGTCTAAGTCACCTTAATTAAAGGGACCTGGGTGGCTTAAGTAGTTTGTGATGGGCTCCTCTGAAAAAGGCTGGTGGTTCAAACCCGTTCAGTCTCATAATGAAAGAAAAAGCCCAATGATCTGGTTCCATAGGTTCCAGCCAAGAAAACCCTATGGAGCAGTTAATACATTGGGTCACTGAGTTGGGGGCTAACAACACCACCACCAGCCGCCTTCCTGTGTGAGTCTTTTCAACTTTGTTGAGATGGCTAGTGGGGAGATGGGAAAGGAAGTGAAACAAATTTGCTTACCAAAAACTCTTGGTCCATAAAGTAGGGCTTTTCGGATGATCCATCATTTGTTTCCAGATCAACAGCAAAACACAGAAAAAGTGCATCCAGCACAGTTTCAAACACAGATAGAAAACTATGGGCTACTAGGTAGGCAAAAAAAGCCACCAGCAATAGAGGGATGGTCCACACCTGCAGTACACGGTTGTAGTTAAATGCCATCAATCCACCAAAAACAGTGAAACATACCACCAGCACCTGCCCAAAACAAGAGTTTGTGGGAAATCTTTATAAATTGGTTAGATATTTCAGAAAAGATTCTTTGTGAGCTGCAAGTAATCATTTCATTTGTGTACCCTGTTATAAGAAGGCTTTTCATAGAAAATTTGGTACAATCAAATCGAAAAATTAACAGTAAGATAATCAAATGAAAACCCATTTAACTTGGGGAGTTGCAGAAACTGGTTTGTTTTTCTTTTTAGGTATATATATATATATACACTTTAATTTTTTTTCCATGCACAGTTGGTGTATTTGTAGATATAACAATTTTTGTTTTTTTCACCTACTACCACAATAAGCATTTCCATTAAACATATTTTTATAAACATCACTTCTTTGTAACAGCTAAACAATACATTGGGTAGCTATGCTGTAGTTTAATAGGGGAATCAGTTTTTCCCCTGGGGATTAAAGTGGAAGGGCTTTCGAATGCTGGTGTGGGAAGATAATGGGATTACCCTAGGCTTGCTATGTGTGATTATGAAATTTCCAGGAACATAATTATAGACACACTGCATCTAATTTTTTTAACAGACATAATGGAGTCAATTTGGGTCCCCATTGCCTCTGTCTGGATGGCCACAGAAAGGAGTAAGAGGTCTGAAAGCTCCAAAGAGCCAGACAACCACAGGTGGTTGTATGCTTATTAGAAGTTCATTAGTAAGTGCATAGTCCTCAGGAAATAACAGGAAAATAAGTGACCTAAAATGTATTTTTTTTAAAATACATCTATTCTAAAAATAAGACCTTATCTACCATAAATTTGGAAATTACTATTAGAGAGTATATTACAATATTATCAATTGAAATACTTATTTAGGCTATTTTGAAAGGCATAGTCATTTTATACTTCAAGAGCTACTGTCATGAAAAAATATCTGGGACCAGCTAAGAGAAAATATATGTGCGATTAACACACTAGAGACATAACAACTAAATGTCACAAAAGCACAAAACCCTGGACTGGGAAGTCAAGAGCCCTCCATATTTGACATGCCAGATCACAACTGGAGACCAAGATCTTGTTCACTATCGGGCACCACTGAAGGCTCCTGGGATCTGTGCCATATATGTAGGAATGGTGGTTGGTAGAAGCAAGGACTTTTGGGTATGGATTAGAGTAGATTTTGTAGGAAGGTCAGGATGTCAGTGGTCAACAATAGGGAAGGCAGTCAAGTTGGAAGCAGGATCCGGCAAAGTCAGACATGCAGAATTAGGCCCAGTGGGCGAAAATTACAAGGAAGGAGAGACACTGTATGGCACAGTTTTGAATCATGGTCAAGAAAAGGTGGGGACGGGCTGATGAACCACTTTCATAAACATTTCAGTTAGTCTACCCTATCTTTATTTTACAGATACGAAAACTTAGGTTCAGAGTAGTTAAAGATTCTAAATTCAGGGCTCTGCCCTTGACATCATGAGATGTGGGTGGGGCTCTAGTTACAAGGTGCTCCTCCACTCCAGAAGACTACACAGACTACACTTTTTTTTTTTTTTTTTTTACAATTTCTTAACAACAACAAATGTTGATATGTGACAGTAACTCTGATAATAATAACTTTGACTTCATTGAGGACATAACAAATTGATCTTATTTATGGATATGAGGTCCTTAAATGATTGTAAACTTTAATATTTCCATACATAGTTTTATGACAAAACTCACCCATTTTCTAAGGTTAGCAGTATTTTTATTTTAGACAGGAATCAGACTAGTAATTGAGAGGATTGATCAGGGATGATAGCATTCAAATCCTGGCTCAACCTATGGTGGGATAGTGGATGAGTTATTAAACTTTAGTTTCCTCACCTGCAAAGCCAGGACACTTCACAGGGTTGTGAATGTAATGAGATAATGAAGCACAGCATCTGCTGTAGAGTAAACATTCAAGAAATACTGGTTCCCTTTCAAACACTTGTGAAATGTTCATTCCCTGGTACATTTGTTATTTTAGTGATGGTATCTCACCTTTCCTAGAAAAATTATGAAGTCTCCAAAGTAGTTAATGGATGCAAAATGCTGTGAATTCTTGGAGAGGATTTTGACTGCATCTTTTGCTGATGTGCAAAAATCCGTCCCATTAATGGCAGTTGCAGTGTATACATTCTGAAACAAAAGATAATAGTTAAAAAGATGGGCCTTATTATTTGAAATCCAAAAGAATGACAATACAGAATATTTGAAGAATATAGAAAAAAAACAGCTACTAGAAGTTCACCCTTTCTGCCATAACATATCATATCATTTTCATAGTCCCTTCCAGTCTCTGGTTACATGCACATGTAGTTTCCTATGGTTGTGGTGGGTAGAAAAGATAAATGAGTACTTCTGGTCACTATGGTGGAATTGAATGTTCTACTACAAACATATGGAAATGATACATAAAGTATACATTAGATTTTTAATAATTTATTTTATCTTGGCTGTTGAGAATATTACACAGTTGAATGTACACCAACTCACCAGTTTCTCCATGTACAATACAGTAGCATTGATTACATTCTTAAAACTTTACAACTATTCTCACCTGCCTTTGCGTATTTTTTTAATGCACAGCAATTTGAGGGCAGGAAAGGAGGTTTAAGTTGTACAAACAAAACAGGCCCTCTAGGGATTAGCCAGAGCTGAACTCAAAGGTACAAAGAACATAGAATTAGGAGAGAGATGAGAAACCATACCTTTAAGGCACTGAGATATTAGCATTAAAAACTGGTCAAGAATCAGTGGAACTACCAGACTCTGGGCAAAGGGAAAGCAAATCCTTGGTTAGATGGTGCTCTTTTGGTCTTGAATGGTTGACTAATCTATTGTGTGGGTAGCTCATTAATGTTGACCCCCTATGTTGTTGTTGTTAAGTGCTGTGCATGCAGTCGGTTCCAACTCATAGCAACCCTGTATAGGGTTTCTGAGGAGTGGCTGCTGGGTTAGCAGCCCAGTGCTTATCCTACAGTGCCACATCAGAATTTTCTACTGTTATCCAGTGCAGTGACGGATGATCACTGAAGGATACATTTCCAGATATGGAATTACTAATCAAAGAAGACAAAGCTCTCTCTCTATGCTTATGTTCACATGACAAGAGTTCTGGCGTCACCTTTTCAAAGTTGCTTTCCCTCAACGTTCTGTGATGGTTATGGGGCAGGTGGGTAGGGTAGACCCATGTTAACATGGGTGACGGGGCAGGCAATCTACAATAAGACCAAGGTTGGCAGAGGAAAGATGAAGGTAGAGGGAGACACTGGAAGGAATGCAAGTGTTAAAGTGAACAGAGGTCAATACTATTCGCTGTTGGTACATTGGATGGCAGTCTTTGAAATACTGATGAATGTAAAACTGATGATCTGCTGTGTTCACTCAGCTCACAATAAAAAATTAAAAAAATAAAAATTCCTTCCCCTCATGACTGACTACATGATCATTTCACAACCACCTATTTATTCTATTTTCCATGAAATATTGCAAAATGCCAATTGCACTGCAGCTTACAACCAAGTACAACTTTCTTGGGGAAATAACACTGGAAATTAGTGCTGCCTGCTTAAATTGCTGCCATTCCTCTTTTTGATGACAATAACCAAGCTTTTGGTATGGATAAAGGAAGAAAGTTTGACATTTGGGGTAAGGGAACATGGCCCATTATTTTATCGCATGAGATATAAATGAATTCCTTCATACACCCATTCTAAAATATGGTAAGGGAAACTATTGAGTGTGTTAGTAATCCAGCCCTCACTCTACACCCCCCGCCCCTCTTCAGCCCCCATGACACAGATCATCATTAGTACCAAAGGAAATGGAAAAGGAATGAGCAGGTATAAATAAGGTTAAAGGCTTAGAACTCATTGATTCATCTCCCCATCTTCACAAAGACCAACTAGAGAGAAACGTTTGGTTTTCAAAGATGAAAGCTGGGTAACCACCTCAGGACATTCTTAGGTAGGCGTCGGATGATTCCTTGTAGAAATGCTTTAGTACTATTCCAAAATGAACTTCTGGTTTCTGACTTTACGTGTGAAATTTGCGTTTAGAAATCTCAAAACTGGCTGATGGTTGAAAGCTGCTCCAGTGTAGGGACTTGAGTCTTAGTGAAGAGATGTGGGAACTCATACCTAAGTGTCTTCAAACATCCAAGGTTCTCTGAACCCTGATGACCAATTCATTAATTTTCAAAACACATCTGTAGGGTAGTAGGGGAAGAATGCCTTAATAGTTCTTTTATAGAAAGGAAACTAAGATCAAGGGCATTGTCCCCATGTCTCATGGTGACTCAGCAAGGCAAAGAATTCTTTTTTATCCTAACTTTTTTGACATCACGCTACCCAGTTTCATTAGGACAGAATGCTATTTAAAAGCATGGTGGTTAGGTAAGCACAGGCCCTGTAGCCAGACTGTCTGGGTTCAAATCCCAGTTCTACCACTGACTGGCTGTTGGTCTCAGGCAGATGATTTCATCTCTCTGGAACCTCAATTTCCTCATCTATAAAGTGAGTTATGACACCTATAGCAAAGAGAAGTTGGGAGAATTAAAGGCCATATTCCCTATAAAGCATTTAGCAAAGGGCCCCGCACATTGGATGTGCACAATAAAGGCTGGTTATTAACATCCAGAAGGAGTGCTGGTGGCACAGTGATGAAAGCACTTGGCTGTTAACTAAGAGGTCAGTGGTTTGAACTCAGCAGCTGCTCCGTGGGAGAAAGATGAGCAGTCTGCTTCCATAAAATGTTCAGCCTCGGAAACCATCTGGACAAGGTCTGTGTCCTATAAGGTTGCTATGAGTCATAATTAGACTCCTCAGCAGTGGGTTTGGACTTGGGTATTACCATCCAAACCTCACCAAAGATGATCTCACAACTGTGAAACAACAGAAGCAACTCTTCAATGCCTTGATGGGGTGAGGGGAGGCCCTGTGGTTTCCCCACCACTTTCTCCCTGTAAGCTGAAATTCTTAGGAGTCCTGGGTGGCAAAGACAGTTAAGTGCCTGACTACCAACTAGAAATTTTGCAGTTTGAACCCTTGCAGAGGTGCCTCGGAAGAAAGACATGGCAATCTGCTTCCAAAAGGTTGCAGCCAATGAAAACCCTGTGAAACACATTCTACTCCGATACACACAGGGTCCACGAGTCAGAATCTGCTCAACATGGTTTTTTTTTTTTTTTTTTAATTTGCTTAGGTTCCATCTTCAGCCCACCACTGTGCCATGCCCCCCTCTAACCCCAAGTACTCAGTGCATTTCCTGATTCACATGGAAGTAAACAGTTTTTAATGGGACTTCCTTTTCTTGCTGAACCCTGCCTCAGAATCAGTCTATTTAGCACCATTGGTGTGGTACTGTAGGATCATCACAGGAGTTGACAGTTCAAACCCACCAGATGCTCCTTAGAAACCCAATACAGGGTCCACATGAGTCAGAACTCACCCAACAGCACTTAGCAACAAAAACTCTCATAAGCAATAAAAACAGATTTTGCTCCTTGGCTAAAGTGTTTAAAGGTTAGAATGGTAATTTCTCATGCATGTGTTGTCTCCATGGCTTTTTTCTTTGGGGCCCATAACCATTGATCTTTTCTTTCATATATCATGTCCACTGAGAGACGGTGTTAAAACTACTATGACAGAGAAATTGCATATATGCCTTCCTGCAGTTCCTATCCCATTAGCATTTTACCACAAGATTCAACCCTGAATGCAACAGAGACCTAGAATTAATGTCTGGATGAATAGCAGGAGGAGGGAAGAGTCACTCAAGACACAGGATAGAGAGTAAAAATTTCTGCAGTTTCAGCATTAGTTAATTTATACTTATTCTGAAGAGAAGCTGCTTCCTTGTCAGGCAGCTGGGAATGGGCCTGCACTGATTTTTTCAATATTGAAGTCTTCGCTCTGAGCATTCATTTGGATGTTCCTGAGCTGACAGGACTTGGGATGAACGTGTTAGGGGACTCTGCACTCCCTAACAATATGAAGAAAGGATTAGACACACTAAAGATTAAGAGACCTGTTTTGGTGGTTCTGAACGTACGTCACCAGATTCTGAAAGCTAATCTTTAAGCAACAAAGTAAGAGGTAATGGTGTCGGGCTGTTAATTTACTTTAGAAAATTCAGTGTGCATGTTTCTTTAAGAGTCATAAAGCAATTAAATATTTCTGTGTTTTGAAATTGAACCTATAAAAACATGAAATAGAAGGAAGGTCCCCCAAATTGACAATGGTGACTTCTCAACACTAGCCCCCACTTCTCTGTCCCATGCCTGGGATTAAGGCCATTCTTCTTGTTAGATGCTGTCAAGCTAGTCCCAACCAGTGGTGATGCCATGCCCAGTGGAACCAAATGCTGCCCAATTCTGTGCCATCACTCATGCTGGGTTGAGTAGCAGACCGTGTAATCCATAGGGTTCTCACTGGCTGATTTTCACAAGTATATCACCAGGCCTTTCTTCGTAGTCTATCTTAGTCTGGAAGCTCTACTGAAAACTGTTCAGCATCATAGCAACAGACAAGTTTCTACTGACAGATACACGGTAGCTGCTCATGAGGTACACTGGCTGGGAATTGAACCTAGGTCTCCTGCATGGAAGGTAAGAATTCTACCATTGAGCTACCACTGCTGCCAAAGACTCTCACTAGGCCTGGATTCATTCATGTTCAGACTGCCCATCAAGAACTAGCACATGCTATAGGAGAGTCTGAGGGAGAAGGGCACGGATGGGAACAGGCCTGTGTGGCTGTGAGGTCCTGCAAATAATTAAATACAACTCACACGTGGATGTAAACACGGCATGGAGTAGAACCACAAGATGAGGGTAAGAGGGCAGAGGGAGCATTAGTAGGCGAGGAAGTCCTAGGCACAGGGGAAACTACATTGAAGAAGTGATACTCGAGTTGTCCGCATGTCAGTTGTCTCTGGCAGGGGCTGAGGCAGCAGCATGGGTCCACAAAATGAGACTTGGAAGGTGCATGTGCCTGTCTATGGTAGGTACTGGGGGTTCAGGGAGAAAAATGTTGTGGGGGTTGGTTCTGGAGAAGTTACAGAGCCTGGTCACAGTGGAGTTGAAATGCCTTGTGGTGGACTAAGGGATCGATGGGAACTTTCAGAAGGACATGCGT